TGCCCTCTCCTGCCCCCTCAGCCACTCACTCACAGGTGGTGTTGCCCTGCATGCTGACCACACACTTGGCATCCTGGCTGGTCTCACGAGCATTGAAGGGCCGAACCCTCACTGCCACTTTCACTGAAGCACCAGCCATGGCTCCAGACACTCCCACCCTCCTCAGCTGAAAGATAGAGAAAGAAAGGGTGGTCAGAGCCACTGGAGGGACCCAGACATTGCCTCCCAGCTTCTCCTTGGAACCAGTCTCTCCACCCTCCCCGAGCAGCTACACGCTACCTCAAGGACCCCGTTGTTGTTCCTCTGGCCTTCCTCCCAAATATCCCTGTCTTGAGGGACTCCCAAAGTATTCCTGCCTCTCTCCTGAGCCATTATCCCAGCTTGCAGGGCCTGGGCCATCACCCCAGAGTTACCTGGTGTCCTGACCCCAGACCAGGGGGGCTGTATCAGTTCTGGCTGCCACCGGCCCGCGTAGGGGAAGCCCCATCCTACACTTGGGACCTGGCCACACCAGCTGGGGCTGTGGGGGAAACCCTGGTTGTGGGGGAAGAATGGTTAGGAGGCACCTGTGGCTCCAGAGATCTGTTTGGGGTTCCAAAGTTAGAGGGCAAGGGGTGAGGGAAAAATGTTAGGAAAGGAAAGCCACCCCTCTGGAGTAGCTGAATGCAATGTGAATCCAAGGGCAGGAGTAGTGATATTTTTATTCCTCGTCACTCACAAGTGTACTGAACGTTCAGACAGAGGAGAGAGAGAGGCTGGACAGAGGGCAATTCAGAGAAAGGAGCACATGGGCAAAGAGACTGAAAGTGGCAGGAAGGGGAAAAGGAGGATCAGAAAGTCCCAGACACTAAGAAAATGAGAAAAATGAGACAAAAGGCAAGACTGAGGTCATGCAATGAAGGAAAGAATGGGAGGAGAGAAGGTGGAAGAGACAAAGGACATCAAACACAGGGATAGTAAACAGGCAGGGAGGGGACCTCTGGGGCCAAAGCACAAACTGAGAGCCCAGAAGAGAGATGAGATAAAGGAAAACCCCAAACACAAAATCTGCCCTAAAAGTCCCCCACCAGGTCAGCATGGCAGAAGTAGGACCCAGTTTCCATCTAGGGCCCATGCTCTCCACACAGGAAGCAGGAACTGCTGATGAGCAAAGTCCAGGGACTGGAGATGCAGCCCAGGACTGGGATCCATAAGACCTGTTTGTGGGCCCAAACCCCTTGCCCAGCCCCCAGCACTTCCTCTTCAGGATCCAGGACAATGAGCAGGGGAGGGTGGGGTCATCCTGTCTCCATTATACCAACCCCCAGGGCTCCATGGTTGAAGGACCCAGAATACCTGTGTTTTGGAGAGTGGGAAGAGAGAGGGTCTCCTTAAAAGGGAGGAGGAGGAAAAGGAAGCAGGCAGGTCTCAGCCCCAGCCTGGGGCTAGTGCTATGGCGTCCACTGCCCTGGGGAAGGTGCCAGGCTGGAGTCTTGGAATGTGGGTGATCGGGTGCCCACACCCTAGGAGGAGAGGCTGAGCAGCCTACGCCCACAGACAGCAGGGTGGAGGGCTATGGAGAAGGATAAGGGATGCTGGGTTCCCTTCTTTGACCCCAAAGGACCCCAAACTTCTATCATGTTGGCCCTCGCCTCATCAGTCTTTCTGGGCAGAGTATGAGAGGTGAAGGGGCTAGTCTGTCCCAGGGCAGGGAGTAGCTGAAATCACAGAAGCTGGCCCAGGAAGCACAACCCTGACCCCCCTGCAGACCCTGACCAGGGGAGGAAGGCCACTGGTGGGGACTCGCAATGGTGACGCTGTGGCCGCTAATGGGACAGGGAACAAGGTGGCGTGGCTGGAGACAGTGGGGAGTATTAGGGGGAGGTACAGGACTCGGCCCATGCAACAGCAAAGGAGCAGTGGGATACAGGCTGGGGCGGAGCCAGACGACCGACCCGAAAGAGGGGTCTTGGGCCACTTGCACCTTTCCGAACGAATTAACATACAGGCCTCCGCCTCTCTGGGCGGCCATGCGGACCCCATCTTCCTGTCCAGCCGACCGACGGCCGCCCCGGGCCTGGCACCTCTCGGCTTCTCGGCGGGACAAATAGCACATGATCCTGGCTCTCAAGCCTACACTGCCCCGCCGGGGCAAGCAAATCGGACCCCGCTCCCCGCCTCCCAACCCGGCACATTCCTCCGCGGGCGTCCCCTCCCTCCCCGCTTCACCCAGCTCTCACCTCGTCGCGGCTGGGCTCCCGGGGCAGCTTCGCGGAGTGCAAAGCGACAAACTTTCCGGGAAGCTTTGAGACTGGAGTGGGGAAGATCGGGGACGGTTACGAGGCTGCCCCCGCCCCTCGCCGGGTCCCCGGGCGGCGGGCGACCAACTTGCGCCCGGGGGCGGCAGCAGTAGCGGCGCCAGCGGCCGGCGCCCGCCCGGGCAGCGCGAGCTGGGCGGGAGCGAGGGGCCGGGGACGGGCGGGCGCGCGCGCGCGGACGGGCGGGCGCGCGCCGGCCAGAGAGAGGCCGGAGTGACCCAGACTACTCTTGTTAAAGGGGCAATGCTCCCGGACTGTGGGGCCCACCGAGCAGGACGCGGGAACCGAGAAAGGGACGCCGAAGGCAGAAACAAGCCGCGAGACACCAGGGCTGCACGAGCCTGAGTAACAGGGAAAAGTGAGGGAACACCCTGGAGGGTACCCAAGCCCCGGACTCGCGCACGTCGCCGCCTTCGGAGGCGCGCTCGGGGGGCGGAGCCTCCGGCAGGGCCCCGCCCAGGAGGCGGCTCCGCTCAGGCCCCTCCCCCAGGCGCGACGCCGGCCGGCTACTCCTGAGACTCCAGGCGCAATTTCCCTCCTCCTCCGCGCCAAGCCCATAGTTCTAGAATTCGACGCGCAGCTGCCTCAGGTGCCGGGGCCAAGTTCGGTCGACGGTGGCGCAGCCAATGGGACGCTCTGTGTCCGCCTGGCCGTCAAATTCAGCAGTCTCGGCAGCCTCGGCCGCTGCCTCAGGCCCAAACGACCTCCTCAGGCCCAGATGTCCTCTCAGGCCCAGGCCACCCCTCCCGACCCAGCCTGGCCCCAGACTGCCCCTTCGGGCTTGGGCCGGCAGCCAGAGGGACTCCTCAGGCCTCCAGTTATGCAGGCCACGCGCTAGTCCACCTGCCCAGGGTCCCTTAGCCCCTTCAGGCCTACGCCATAGCCTCGGGCGTGGGCTTCCCTCCGGCTGGGCCGGTCCACCGTCACCACCACTCCAGGTGCCTCCTCAGCCCCACCTGACCGTCAGCGTGGGCTGCCCTCCGAGGGCTATGGCTTCCCCTAGTCAGCTGTGGAGGAGCCTGTCTGACTTCCTTAAGCTCCATCCTAGACCTTAGAGCTAGGCCACCCAGTTAGGTCCAACTACCCCAGGTGTTAATGTCCTTCAGTCCCCAACTGCCCCCTGAGCTCTTCTTGAGCCCCGTCAGGCCCCCGGACATCCATTGACACCCCACCCGCTGGGTTTCAACCCAATCTTCAGCATCTGCCACCTCAGACCTAATTACTGCCATTCTAACTGCTTTCTCAGCCCGTCTTACAACTAGTTCACATCTAACAGTTTCCAATTTGCTTACTCTGCCCTTTGTGCAACCTACAAGCACTTTCCTAACTTATCTAGTATTCTTTTTCTGAAAGAATCTCACTCTGTCGTCTGTGGCATCACAGCTCACAGAAACCGCAATCTCTTGGGCTCAAGCGATTCTCCTGCCTCAGCCTACCAAGTAGCTGGGACCACCGGGGCCAGCCATAATGCCCCTGTAGTTCTCCCCTCGTCACTCAGTGGTAAGATAGGATTTTATTAGACACAAAGGAATACAGAGGAGTAAAAAGCACCAGAGCTTCTGGCAAAAGGGAAGACCCAAGTTGGAAGTCTCCCCTGCCCAGCTATTTTTAGAGATGGAGTCTAGTTCTGGCTCAGGCTGGTCTCTGACCTGAGCTCAAGCAATCCACCCACCTCCGCCTCCCGAAGTGCTAGGATTACGGCGTAAGCCACCACACCTAACCATCTAATATTCTTAATTGCCTTTTCCACCCTCCCTAGCTGCCTCTCAGGTCATCTTTGGCTGTCCCCAATCCTGATTTTGTGTAGCTGACCTTCTGCTCATCTTTTGTTTTAGTTTTTGTTATTGTTTTTTTCTTTTTCTTTTCATTTTTTAATAATTTTTTTTTTCTTTAGGGACAGGGTCTCATCTCTGTCACCCAGGCTGGAATGCAGTGGTTCCATCATAGCTTGCAGCAACCTCAAACCCTTGGGGTCAAGCAGTCTCTCTACCTCAGACTCCTGAGAGCTGGGACTATAGGCACCCACCATGTCCAGCACCTTCTTATCTTGTTTCTTTTATTTATTTATTTATTTATTTATTTATTGTCTAGGGCTGGGTTGGAACCCACCACCTCCAGCATATGGAACTAGCGCCCTACCCTTTTGAGCCACAGGCGCTGCCCATTCTTATCTTTTTTTCTTTTTTTTTCTTTTTTCTTTTTTAGCACAGTCTTATCTTGTAAACATTCCCAACTGTGCCTTCCATTCACCAATTAACCACTCTTCCCACACTCAACCTTCACTAGCTACTCATACCTGATTCATTTACCAAGGCTCAATTCAGCCACTTCTCTAATTTTCCCCAACTACTCCCACCACCACCCCTACCCCTGCCAAAAGCCTCAGATCTATCCGGTCTCCACCTGTCATCCTTTTTCATTTTATCATACCTTATTACCAATTAAGTCGCTTAACTGCCATCTGTAAATTTCACTTACTCTATACATTTGATTTCAGAAAATTCACTTTCCTGTTTACCACATTCACCTTTCCTGTGCTCACCATCTTCAACCTGGATCTTCAAATAACAGTCCAGCACTAGACATAATTTTTAAGCTCTCTTTCCTTTTTCAAGATCCGCACATTCTCTTTCCATTCTCTAGAACTACTTCTCATCTCATTCTTACAGCCATTGCATGAATTAATGATTCATTTTCCTTTACTCTCCCAGCACCAAAAAGGAGACAGTCTAGCTACCCAGCCCAGTCCAGTCATGCAGGTACGAGAAGATGAAGACAACCTCATACCCTTTGCCAAGTGAGTCCTTCCCACTGGATGAGGAGAATGGACAAGGGATGGAGAGCAGATTGCATGCCTGGATCCTTCCCTAAAAGGATTAGGAAATAAGGAACAGGAAGCTCAATGCCTCATCTCAGGGGATTGATGATTCATTAATTTATTCAACAAATAGTTTTTGGTTGGGTGCGGGGACTTATACCTGTAATACTAACACTCTGGGAGGCCAAGGCAAGTGGATAGCTTGAGCTCAGGAGTTCAAGACCAGACTCAGCAAGAACAAGACCCCATCTCTACTAAAATTAGAAAAAACTGGCTGGGTGCAGTGGCTCACACTAGTAATCTTAACACTCTGGGAGGCCAAGCTGGGTAGGTTGCTTGAGCTCACAAGTTTGAGGCCAGCCTGAGCAAAAGACCCCTGTCTATACTAAAAAGTAGAAAAACTGAGGCAAGAGGATCATAGGAGCCCAAGATGGAGGTTGTTGTGAGCTATGATGGTACAGCACCCTACCTAGGGCAACAGCTTGAGACTCCATCTCAAAAAAATAAAAGAAGTAGAAAAAACTAGCCCAGCATTGTGGTGGGCACTTGTAGTCCCAGCTACCCAGGAGGCTGAAACAAGATCTTTTGAGCCCAAAAGTTTGAGGTTTCTGTGAGCTATGACTCCACAGGTGACAAAATGAGACACTGTCTCAAAATAAGTAAATAAAATAAAATTTAATTTTAAAAAATAGTTTTTTAACACAATAGTACAATGTTCCAGGCACTTGCCTTAGACAGTGGTGATTCACTAATTAGTGAAACAAGGGTCCTGCTTTCAGGGTTCTTTTTTTAATTTTTAAATTTTATTTATTTTTTGAGACAGTCTTATTTTGTCACCCTCCATAGAATGCCATGGTCTCATAGCTCACAGCAACCTTGAACTCTCAGCCTCAAGAGATCCTCTTGCCTCAGGCGCCTGCCACAGTGCCTGGCTATTTTTAGAGACAAGGTTTGGCTCTAGCTCAGCCTGGTCTCAAACTCCTGAGCTCAGGCAATCCACCTGCCTTGGCCTCCCAAAGTGCTAGGATTACAGGCGTGAGCCATTGTGCCCAGCTCCAGGATCCTGCTTTCATAAGGCTAACATCCTGAGTGGGGAGAGGATGCATAATAAATAAATAAATAAATATAATTTCAGCTAGAGATGAGTATCATTAAAAAATAAAGAATATAAGATAATGGAAAAATAAATGTCTTGAGGAACACATGGTTAAATATTGTGATATCGTGATTGTGGAAGACTATTCTGGGGAGGTTAATTTGCATGGAACTGAAAAATAAGGAGGAGAACCAGGGGAGAAGGAATGGTAGATGAAAAAAGAAAAAAAAAATCCCCAAGAAGGAAATAAGCTTTGTATGTTCTGGGAAGAACAGGAAGTGGGCCAGTGTAACTGAAACTTAGTGATCAGGGAAAAGCAGAGATTAAAGTCAGAGTTAGGTGGAGGCCAGATCATGCAGGACCTCATGTAC